CCACAATCACCAAATGAGCCCCGCTAAACTGCGTCATCAGTGTTACCCCCAGATTTGGGTTCACAACTAATACCGCCGCCGCTGGTTTCACACCTGGTGAGGAGCCGGTTATTAACCGCAGTGGTGATTTGCCAAGATTTGCAAACGTCCCAGCTCCGGTTACATACGGCTCCTGGATCAACACAACATCCAGACCCCTTCTCCCTACCTCGGACAGCAGGTCATCTGTTGCCAGTTTCCCCCGTCCTAGGTTTACCTGTCCTACTCTCACAATGCCCATCTAAATTTCCGGGCTTCCCGCCGGAAATTTACCTCCCACGTATGACACTTTGAGGTGTCACCCGAGACGTGACCACTCTCCCAACCACTAGCGGCGCAACAAGCACACCGTATCGCGGCCGGACGAGCAATACAGCACGCAGCGTGATGCGAGCCAGCACACCGCCCGCAGACCACCACCGAAGCCTTGCAGGACGCACCAATGTGTCCATATCGCTGGCACTTATGGCACGCAATACTTTAACACTGGGGCCCACCCGACATCGGGACAGCCCAACGAACAACGTTTGGCCCACAATCTCGCCAGCAACCTCGGGCGTGACCTCAAACTCCACGTCACGTCCCCTACTCGTAACCCTGTTGTTCCTAGGAATCAGTTCGAGGTTGTTACTCCAGCCCATCCCCAGATTTACAGAACTAAAGTTCTGCTTTTCCAGTTGAAAGGCTATTTCACTATCCTTGACCTCAATTCCTACCCCGAATATTTTAACTCGAGGGTTTCTCTCGCCCGCCCGACGGAGGTCGAGCGAAGCGTTTTGGAGCAGCTTCCGACTCTCCTCATCATTCGGCTCCACGTACAATTTTTCCGCCCCGACCTTTTTCACTTTTTTAAACTTTGGGTTGTGCATCCCCGTCCTTACCGCCTCCCAGAGAGTCTATATCAGATCTGCCTCGGTTGCCTCTGGGACAACTTTTGGTTTCTCCGAACCAGCCTCTCCTTTCCGCGGCAAGTTGATGATAAACGCCCCGCCGCCTTTCTCTCTGACCTTTTTCGTTTCCTCCAGGAGTATTCTAACATCCTTTGGGACGGCCCTCTTCACTTTTTTTTACCTTCCTCTTGACTGTCGTCAAAGCGCCTTGCTTCTGTGCCCCAGACTTTTCAAGGAGGGGTCGTACCGGGTTTTTCTCCCGTTTTCGCCCTTCTGTCACCGACGCCTTCTGTACTTGGCTCCTTTTCTTGGGTTGTTTTTCAACAACCTTTCGAACCGGAGCCTTTCCAGTCGGCCTGGCGACAGTCACCTCATTCGAGGTTGATGCCTTGGGGTCCATTATAGCCTCAGGCCTAGGACCCTTTTCCAACTCCGACTCCACACTCTTCTCCTTCTCCTTCCTTCTTTTCGACTTCCTTTCACTTTTCTTCTTCCTCTTTAGCGCTTTCCTCTCTTTTATTACCTCGGCATGAATGTCGGTAACAGCTTTCTCAAAGTCGTCTCTGATCAGGGTGTCCATTGGCGATGATGTCATCTCCGCAGGTACACTCCTCTCTTCGACTCCTTCTACTGGAGTTGCTCCCTTCACCAGCTCGGAACGCCTCAGGTGTCGCGCCTCCAGAAGTCTCCCCTGCATTATCATTTGTGCGTAAACGAGTTCGTCTACGACACCCATGATTTTTGCACGGGTCTTCATGAAGCTCTCCTCCCTGGCCTTCGTCATAGCTGACTTCTCCAGTCTCATCGTAACGACAAGACGGAGAAGCTCATCAGACAGCTCCCTCCCACGGCGTCCCAAATTGCAGGTATAATCCCGCAATTCGGTGGTGTCCGTTATAGACCCCGCGCCGTAAGTGAAGCTTTCTATGCCCTCACCGTCATCTCCCCTGAATCTCTTCTTGCAGTTAGTAGGAGTTTCCTCCTCATTAACTGCAATAGAAGACTCCTCTCTTCTTTCTTCCAACTGTCCTTTTTGTTCCTTTGCCATATCTTCATTATCTTTGTTTATCCTTTTTTTAGTTTCCATAATTGTTCCCACGAGTGGGGGACGATCTATAAAGTCCGTTATGTCACTGCGCCCCTCTGACATAATAAGGGATTCTACCCAGCCCTTCCCAGGGGGCTGTGGGATCTCTATAGACACGGTTTATTTACCTCCTCCGTGCCAACCTATTCTCATAGCTAAATACCTGAGCTTAGGAGGTTACTGAGATGTTCAATTAAGAACACCTCTTGCCCTTTCCGCAAGGCAGATCCGATGAAGGACCCTTCGGTTTTCCAACACATTTAACACTTTGCAGTGTAGTGCTGGGCCGAACGCGTCTATACCAACTACCCAAAGTCAGCATCGCTTTTGACCCCAATTAAATCAATAACCGGGGTCAACCCCCTCCTACCTAGATTTTAATCCGACAGGAGGTTCACTGACTTTCCCGTCTAATAAAAGAGAGGTAAAGTCACCCGAAAAAGCCTCAGCATTTATCGGTATTTTTCCATGGAAGGCCTTTCTAGTTGCAAGCGGCTTTCCTGGTCGATATAATCGTGTCAGCAAAAATATCGAACCTGGGGCAACCAAATTAAGGTCACTTCCAGTTCACGCTTCATAGAAGCCTCGGTAGAAGACTTTATTCTTCTCCGATCTAATGCCTTACAGGCCCGTCTTCAGGATAGAGGACGTTGCTATGGGCTCTACGGATCTTATCCGAGGCCATCCTCGGTATGTATTTCATACCGATATAATCCGTCGAATGGTTTCCTATTTATTCTAGGAGAGACTCAAGAGTCTTCCCGGGTTGGTTCTAAGCAGCGGTTTCATTCCGAGCCCGTCCCGCCATTTCCGGATAGGCAACGGTGCGAGCCGAATGTCCACGCACTAATCCCGGGTAAGTCATGTCATACCACAAGATTATGGCCGCCCGAATGTCCACATACGGGCCAAATCAGAGGGGACCTGACCAGGTCAAAGCCCCATAATTCGGTGCGTAGTGAATATCGTTTCGCCGACAGAGAGAAAAACCCGACGTAACACCCAAAGGGCATTCCGCCGGGAAAGTTCCCTGTCTGCGCAGACAAGCGACCGCGCACTCTATCGCCGCTCCGGAAGCGGCGATAGACTACGAACCAACCCGAAACACACGTCTGCGTTCGAGCCGATCAGGACCGCCGCGACAGCCGCTAGGGCTGCCGCGAGGATCCATTTCAAGTCACAACATTTGCCATCATCGATCAAAATAGAACGAATATTAATTATCTTCTTCGCGGGGGCACCTGGCTGACACCAGAGAACCCCCGTTATTGAGACAAGCATATATCATAACATTTAACGTCAGGGGCAACTGCCTAGACGCATGACGATCACCATGGCAAGCCACGGCGATAATCGACGGTTGGATTGATTTGGCATTAGCCGGTCATAGAGACCGTTGATACCTACCGCTACGAAGAAGCTCCAAATCATGGGCATAAGACCGGCTTCCAAACCGGAATTACGGCAAAATCCACATAACTCATAAGTCGTGACCCAACCCAGACGCCACCGCGGATGGCGTCATGGGCGGACACTAGTTGGGCCTACCGCGCATGATCCTTGCAAAAATCACACGAAGTAGGTACCCAACCAATACCCCAACTCGGTACCACGGTAAACATGGCAGCGAGAGAGGCCAATAACCGGATCGGACGGATGCGCGCCCGTACCCGGCACGCCGAATACAGGACGGACACGCGACCGAGCTAGAGTTAATCATGTGATACCAATGCCCCGTATTTCTCGAACGCGAGACTCACTCGCCGTTCAGAAGGAAGAATTCTGGACGCGGCGGAATCAAGCCGACGCCACGCTGGTCTTGTGTGCAGACGCGAAATCGCCCTGGGCCATCACCACGCTACCACCCTTGGCTGTGGTTTCGCTAGGCGGATCAAAGGACCAATTGGAATCCGATATCCATCGTGGAAAATTGAAGAAATGTCTAGAGCATTAGAACAATTGAAAATCCACATACCTTGTGAATTTGCTAAAAAACCTAGAACACTACTTGAAGTGAGTCGTTGGAAAGCAACTGAATTTAGAATGTTTTTACTCTATATTGGTACAATTGTAACTAAACCTGTTTTACAAAATGAACAATGGAAACATTTTTTTAGTCTAAGTGTGTCAATGATAATTTTATTGAGTCCTGATTGTGGAAATTATATTAACCTTTCTCGTATACTATAAGGCCTGGTGCACACTTGCGTTATTTTGACGCGCGGCAACGCTGCGGCACCGCGGCGAAGCCGCCGTATTCAATGCACACCTAGCGTCAAATAACGCCTTACATACGTGGGTCAGTACGACGCGCAACGTTGAAACGCCTAGTATCACTGAGTTTATTTTCTTTAGTTTTTCACTAGTATTTTCAGCATGAATTCGACACAAGCGATGGAAATTTATAAAAGAAAACGTATAATTTTTGCGTACCTTGTGTACAAAAAATATGTTTTGAAAAATAAAAGGCGTTATTGGGTACACCCATTTACTGATTCAAGACTTGCGAAAGGTATATTTTATACGTCTTTTGAAAATTTACGTGAAAGCCCGGATAAATTTTTTAACTACTTTCGAATGAGTATAAAATCTTTTGACGAGCTTGCCGTTAAAATTTCGACGAAGATTAAGTCTACAGATACGCATTTGAGATTGTCTATACCTCCACTGGAAATGTTAGCTGTTACTTTGAGGTAAGTACATTTTGAAAATTCTGTTTATAATTTTTACTTTAAGACGGATAATTTAATAATATATTAATAGTCAATTAAATTAGACATCACAGTATAAAATAAATATAACGGATAAAATTGTATGTATAAACAGTGTAATGTTTTTGAAAATATTTAATAATTTCTTAAATACCTACCGTATTAATATATCCAATATCCATGAATACATTAAGTAGAAACTAGATACAAAAAAAATAGTAATAAATTCGAACACAATTTTAAAATTCATACAAAACATTATTATCGAATAACTTAAGTTCCATCCCTGAAAATGTCGATACTGTCTTCTTCGCTGTATGCCTGATTGTCCATAGTTGTGGAAGACGAGGCTGATGGAGATATTATGTTAAAATTCATGCTCGGACTTTGTGGTTGAGGTAATGAAGTAGTTAGACGTGTTTGAGATATGGGAACTTGATGACGGTTTAAGTAATTGGAATGGTGAGGTGAAGGATAGAAAGGACCGGATACATGTGTAGGTGTATAGTGTGGAAAGTTAGGAGAATGTTCATAATTTTGTATAGCTGGTGGATTCCTCATTCGCTGTATGATTTTCATAACTTCACAACGGAATTCAAGCTTTTGATCTTCGGTGAAATTACTGATAGATGGTAGGACACTTTCAAAAAATGATCTGTCTGGATTGGTTTCTGAAACGGGTGGTACAATCGGAGAAGGAATTGGTGCATTCATAAAATCAATTAAAGTAGTCTCGAAGTCATGTTTGCGTTTTTTGGTTAAGTTTTGGGTATAGATAGGAGGAGTTTCAGACTCTTTTTGTTGTGATGTTATTTGTTCAGACTCACTCAATTCTTCTTGTTCTCCACCTAAACTGGACTGCGTTTCTGTTGTAGCACCAGCAGTTTGCAAAAACGATAGCTGTCGAGCATAAACATACCGTTTACCTACCTCAGCAGCTTGTCCAGATTTTAATTTTTTTTTTTCACTTTTTGTGTAGGTGTCCTTGATATTCTTCCACTTTTGTATAAATTTATTGCCTAAAATAGAGAAAATGTTCAGAATCTAAAATATAACATGTACTATGATTTTTTCTTTATCCAACTAAGTATTATTATTTTTTCATTACATATTATTATTTTATTGTTATGTGATTTTTCTAATAATAATAAACTAAAACACTTTTGTATGCTTTTAAACTTTTTCATAGATATTTGGGAAGTGGATGTGATCAGATCGATCTACATCTGACATACAGGATTGGTCATACAACAATTGGAAAGATATTGAGAAAAGTCTGTAGTGCTATTTGGGAAGTCTTACGTGAAGAGTGCTTTCCTGAGTTGACAACGGCCCGATGGAAAAAAATATCTGAAGATTTTCAAAAATACAGTCAATACCCTAATTGTCTCGGGGCGATAGATGGGAAACATGTGCGGATCAGAAAACCAAAAATGAGTGGTTCTCTGTTTTATAATTATAAAAATTTTTTTTCAATTGTGCTTCTAGCAATTGTTGATGCGAATTATAAGTTTATATATATTGATGTTGGTGCTTTTGGGAAAGAGTCAGATAGTTCTATTTTTGAAAGAACTCCTTTCTATAAAAAACTCAAGAATAATGAATTAAACATTCCTAGGAGTCAGCCTCTTCCAGGTACAGTTGGTCCAAATATGCCATACACGTTTATAGGCGATGAGGCATTTTCTCTATCACCAGATATAATGAGACCTTTTAGTGGTAAAGTTTTATCAGACACAAAGCGAATATTTAACTATAGATTATCCCGAGCCCGGAGAAACGTTGAATGTGCTTTTGGAATACTTTCAAATAAATGGAAAATGTTTAATAAACCTATCAATGGAAATTTGGATTTATCTATACTTTTGGTAAAGACTTGCTGTGCCCTCCATAATTTTGTAAGGACTAGAGATGGATTCAACGTTGAAGATGTAATGACTATAGATTGACTCATTGAAATCGAACGAGATCTCTCAAGACCACCCAACCAATCAATTCAAATAAGAAACAAGTTGGCAGATTATTTTGTATCTGATGTAGGTAGCGTTCCATGGCAAACAAATTATATTTAAGTAATATTACGTTATTATTATGTTTTATTAATATTTTTTTTAATGCTTTCACAACCTGTCCTATGTGAATCGATTTTTTTTTTTGATTTTGTATACATTTACTTTATAAATAGTGTCAAGTAAAGCTAATATAATATATCATATTATAAATATAAACTGAAAAATTAATTTCAAATTTACTTACAAATTTCCTTTTTGTCTCTATCGTCCTTCTCGTCAAATCCATCACAAAAAACTCGACAAATATTTATCCACGCACCTCGTTTTTTCTTCCGGTCATGATAAGTTTCGACAGCGACATTCCATATCTCAGGATAGTTTTTAACCTCACCAATAAATAGTTCAATGTCCACTTCTTCTTGAATTCCTGCCATGGTGCGTAATGCGTAATGCGATTTACGAATTAAAAAACACGTAAAAAAAAAAATAAAATAAACGTGTTTGGCGTCAAAATAACGCAAGTGTACACTGACCAATATGATACAATGTACTGGGCGACCGCAAGTGACGGCGCGGTGACGCTGCGGTGCGATAAAACTTGCGACAACAATTTTGTCGCAGACGGACGCGCGACACCGCAGCGTTGCCGCTGTGATGTGTGCAGTACGCAATTAGATTGTGGGTTTTCCACGCCGCGATTGCGGTGCCGCAGCGTTGCCGCGCGTCAAAATAACGCAAGTGTGCACCAGGCCTAAGATAATTTTGTTAAAAATTTTGAAAAAATTTATGGCCGTCATCTTATCTCGCACAATATTCATGGTCTAACACATATTAGTGAAGATTATGACCGATTTGGACCGTTGGATAATTGTTCAGCATTTCCATTTGAGAATTACATGTGCTCATTAAAAAAAATGCTGAGAAACCAAACAAGCCTTTAGAACAAGTTGTAAATAGATATAAAGAAATTTGTGAAATGAAGTCTACTATAAAACAAAATAACTCTTCGTACCGGTTGGCTGGATTGCACAAACGAGGTCCTGTTTTAGAGTATATCAAGAGGAGATCAATTTAGTACCATAATATTAGAAACAATGAGTATTAAAACTCGTATTGAAGCTGATTCATACCTTTTTACTCATGATCATAATATTATAAAAGGTGCAAACATAATTCAAAACAATGATACTGAAGAAATTATTTTAATATGTAAACAATTTGAAAACAAACAACCATTATTCATTAAACCTATTAAATCAACATGTTTAAATATTTATATTGTTAAACATTTATCTGATAATTATGTAACATATACCATAAATAATATAAAAAATAAAATGATAGTTTTACCTTTTAATAATAATTTTTTAGCATTACCATTAATTCATTCTACAAAAAATTGTTTAGTATAATATTTCATAATGTTTAACTAATAGGCTTAAATTGTATTGTATTAAGAAATACCTACAAACTTTTAGTAATTTATATTTTATATTTGTCTTAGTTGTATACAAATCATTATATGATTATAATGACCTATGATATAACCTATGTACATATATTATGTTGTTTTGTTTAAATAAACTGAAGTGTCCAACAATGAGTTTATATTTTATTTTGTTTTTAGCCTTTCAGGACCAAATTGTCTAGTTATTATACAATGTGATGTATAGTGGTTTTTGAGGATGATAATTCGGTTGAAGCTGTACCTTCATATTGGTACAAAAACCAAAAATGTGCTTGGCCAAGAAAAAATGCAAAAAGAATGATAGAACGCAAGGTTAACCTATTTTTGGTTATCAAGTTATTTCACTGAAAGTTATACATTTATAATTATTATTTGATTATTTAAACTGAGAATTACGTTCGTATTGGATACATTTGCATTGAATTCTGATTTTTTTTGTTTTATTTTGATATTTCGATTATTTATAATACAAAAATGGCTAGTCATAGTGACAAATTGGATATGTTATTAGTTTTTAATGAGTGCCATCGAAATTCTCGCCAAGCCGCACAATTATACGCTGAAAGATATCCCAATAGATATCAACCAGCGCATAATTATTTTTTAAGGCTCGAAAACCAGATCCGAACTTATGGTTCATTTGGAAATAGAAGTAATCGTCGTCAAATACCACAAGCACAGGCTGAAGTTAACGAAGAAACTGAAATACAAGTATTGGCGTATGTTCAAATTAACCCACGATCATCCATACGTCTTCCCAGATAGCAAAAATATTTTAATAGAATGTTTTTTGAATGTTATATATTTAATTATAATGTTCCAATAAGATTTTAAACGGATTAAAGTAATGTAATTTTAATATTCTGGGAATGTTCTATTGTTTTTATTTGGCCACTTTATTTCGGATTTTAGAAATATTTCATAGGTAATATTGTTGGAATATTGTTAAAATCATATTCTAAAAATATTTTTATAAAGTTGGTATAATAATATTTTAACGTTCTATAATATTTCTAAAATGTTTAGAAAATGTTATTTTCTGTTTATATTATGTACATAACATTTTACAAATAATTGATTAATGTTTTACAAAAACAAATAAATATATATTTTTATAGAATATAATATTTATACTTAAAAAAATAATATCGGAGACAGTTGTAAATTATATTATATCATTCTTTATTGCAAAAAATAAAAAATATTACTCTTGATATTATACTAAATACATTATTTAAAAACCATTAGTTGTATTATATATAATGAATTAATTAAAAAAAAAAATCAAATGTGTAATAAAAAAAAAAAAAATAATACTGCAAAATGTACTAATAATATAAACCTAGCTGTGTAATTAAAAAGAAAATAGAACAATAAAAAAAAAATTAAAATATTAATTTTGAGAATTGTCAAGTGAAGCAGTTTTATTATTTATCTTGTTGGTTATCCTAAATTTTGCATGTGCCAACCATGTTGCTAATGGCACGTCAAACTCTTTATCAATTAGAGATTTGAACTTGGGATGAACTCTAATGGCATCTAAAATAATGATAATACATCAGAATTATATTAATTTTTAAACATAATATTATAATAATAAACATATTAATTATTTACCAATTAATAAACGATACACTTTACAATGTTGGAAAGATTTTTTTTTCTTAAAACCTTGTAAGGAGTATTCAAGTAACACATTATCTTCAAACATTTTGGACATTATTCTTCTTACACTGTCCCCAACACTTTTTGTTCCAACCAACAATGTTAACTTTGAAATCTACAATGTGTATTAAAAAAAAACCATTAATACAACAGTATTTTAAGATAAAAATCTTTAATGTTAATATATCATACTATATTTAATCTGAACTGTTTATCATCCTCAAGTTTTTGTTCTAAATTTTCAAGTTCGCCAATCGATTTTATTGGAAATATTTCTTCAAGTAAAAGAGTTTCTTGTATTATGTTTGGTAGGTTTGAAGACATTAATTTTCCACCACTCTCCAAAATCATATTAGATGCATTTACAGTATGGCTTAATGCAGTTAAATCATATTTAATTTTGGTCAGTGAAGAAATAACAAACTTTTGAAAATCTAAAACAATAAAAAATACAAAATTTAAGAACACAATTAGTTTTGCTTTATTTTATTATGTGATCTATTTAATTTTATATTTATTGTTAACATTTGTTTTTTTCTGACTGTCTTACAAACATTTTAATATAGCAG